AGAGCCAGGCGGATCTCTGTGAGTTCGAGGCCAGCCTGGGCTACCAAGTGAGCTCCAGGAAAGGCGCAAAGCTACACAGAGAAACCCTGTCTCGAAAAACCAAAAAAAAAAAAAAATGCCACCGTGATCTGCTGTTGTCACATCTATATTTTTTTTCATTGTTCTGACAACCTCAGCCAGTATCATGGACCACAAAGAAGCAAGACAAAAACACACAGGAGGGAAAATCTTGGGAGTCCTTTTCTGAAGATGTACAACATATGTGTAATAAAGCACCTCATTGGGGAAAAATAAAGTGAAACAATAATCCACAGAATGGGAGAGAACACGTGCAAATTGTAAAGTTGATAAGCCTAACGTCTACATTATTATACAAAGAAGTATCGCCACTCAACAGTAGGAAATGAAATTATCTGAATACAAAAATGAGTAAAAGATCTAAACAGACATTTATATAGGAAGATATAAAAATGGCCAAACAAGTTCATAAGAAGAGACATAATATCCCGTTCTTAATGGAAAGTGTGAATCAAAACTGCAGTGAGCTACCACTTCAACCCTACCAAGGTGCCTCTAATCACAGAAATGGGCAATATGGGGAAATTGGAATCGTCATTCTCTGCTGGAGAGGATGTAAAATGGTAATGGTTGTCTTGCAAAAACTGAGGCACTTCTTTAAAAAGTTGATTGCAAGCTGAGTATAGTATCCAGCACTTACACCCATAGACAATATATGATATATATATATATGTATATATATACACACACACACATATATATAAACAAAAATATGTTCATAGCAGCATCAAATATAAAAAGGTTGGATGATTCGATGGTCATCAGTCAGTGAGTCAATGGACTGATAGTTGTATGTTCATATACAGTAGAATAACATTCAGCCATAAAAAGCCATTGGACCAGAATACACCATAGATGAAGCTGGAAAGCTTTATTTTTTTTTCATTTTTATTTATTTATTTATTTATTTTTCTATTATCAGCTTGATACAGTACAAATTCTTATCCTAATAGTGAAATGTTTCACTGAGGCTTGCCCAGTGATTGAGTAAAACCAAAACTTATTATAAGCCACAGTCATCCTAGGGTCCCTGGTTATGTGGGTTGCAGTCTGAAGACAGCAAAAAAGGATACACAATGTATGTGTTCTTTTATATGCAAAGTGCCCGATAGTAAACCCATAGAGGCAGAGAGTATACTAAAGGTCATCGTAGTTTAATGGGGAAAGTAGCTTCCTTTGAGGACAAAGGAATGTTCTGGAATTAGAATGCAGTGGTATTTGCACAACCATTTTAACATATGAAAAAATATTGATTGCACACTTTAAAAGAACAAATGCTATCCTATGAATCATGTCTTAGCTAAAATAAAATAGAATAAAAATTGAGCATCCACAGTATTTTTCAGTCATTGTTATAGACTTAGATTTCGGTTGGGGTAGTTTGGGTTTGTTTTTATATATGTGTGTAGATTTTCTATGCCACATGCTGGCCCTTGAGCAGATGTGTGTCCTTATTCTAAATGTTCCTCTAGGGAGTTGCAGAGCAGTTCGGAAAGAAATTTACATAATAATCTGCTTGCTTCAGAGGAGGAGACATAAAGAGAGGCTGAACTTCACAGACCTCAACCTTCCCTGGCCCAGGAAATTCCACATGGAATCACACATCAGAAAAAGGGAGATGGAGACCTCTTTCTTCATCATCCAAGAGTAAAGAGAACCCAGAGTGGCAGCACATGCCTGGGAGATGGAGGCAGAAGGATCAGGAGTTTAAGGCTATTCTTGGTTACAAAGCAAGTCCAAGGCCAGCCTAGGATACAGGAAACCCTGACCAAAAAAATAATGGTGGGTGGAGGAGTGGAGGGGGGCAGTGAAGAATGTAAAACCACCATATTTTTTTATGCATCTCTTGTGAAAATCTTGAAGTATAGTAGTCCTCACATGAATCTGCTGTGGAACCACGATGCAAGACTTCTACAAACAGCAGGGGAGATGGCGGGTCTACATTTGGGATGTAGGTATCAGAGTCAATGCTTTAAGTCAGTGGTTCTCAACTTTCCTAATGTTCCAGCCCTTTAATACAGTTGCTTATGTTGTGGTGACCCCCAATCATCAAATTATTTTTGCTGCTACTTCATAACTGTAATTTTGCTACTGTTAATGCAAATATGTTTGGAGACAGAGGTTTGCCAAAGGGGTCAGGACCCACAGACTGAGAACCACTACTTTGGGAGGAAACAAGACTAGCATCAGTCAGCAAACCTTGGCAAGAAGGAGAAACAGCTCCCCTTTGTCTGTGTACTTGCTGCTGCTGCTGCTGCTGCTGCTGCTGTCTTGGCCTAGTACTTCATGTGATTAAGTCATTTGAAGATACTCCCAGAAAGCAAGGGAAAGAGTTCCTGCAAGGCCCCTGATGAGCTCTGAAATCACTGAGGGAAGGACTTTCCAGCTAGGCAAGCAAGCAGCATGTTCAGGGACAGGGCATGAAGGAGTCAAGGCTCAGTACACCAGAGGAATGACATTTTATTGTGTGATATTTTTGCATTGAGTCCCTTAAGTTTTCTAAGAGGAAAAAAAAAAACACCTTTATTAAATGTTAAACTATGGCCTTCTCATTTCTTTAAAATGTAAAATAGTAAAAATATGTCTGCCTCATTCTTTCAATAATTGGGGGAAAGTAATTAGTGCCCGTGACACCAGTATCATGGAGAGCAATACCAGGGGCTTGGGGAAGCAGAGCAATGCCTGTGGAGGAGAGTAGAATAGTCCTCTCCACAAGGAGCTCCTCCCCAACCCACGGCAGAGCTGGAGAATCCAGTCTCTTTCTGCTAATAGAACCAATTGGTTTTCCTATGGAATCCATTGAAAGAAGAAATCCAAGAGAGGTCTAGATATATGGCCCAATGGGTAAAAGCACTGTGGGGTGCAGTTCAGGGCCTAACACCACATACAAAGCTAAATATGACCAAGCATATGTGTAACCCGAATACTGTGGGATGGCTGGAGCTTTGCTTGCCACCAACCTAGCTCCAGTTTCAGTGAGAGACACTGTCTCAAAGAAATAAGGCAGAGAGTGATACATCAGGGCACCAAACATCCGAGAGAGAGAGAGACAGAGAGAGAGAGAGAGACAGAGACAGAGACAGAGACAGAGACAGAGACAGATCCAGAAGTGCTAAGATACACTTGCTAATATCAGAAAATGAAATCTTCTTCAGGAAATGACATTTTAAACATTATTGATTTCTTTTATTCCCACCCCAAAATACATATTCTAAACAACATCACATTTAAGTCCTGATCTTGTCATGATTACTGAAACCAGGTACCAATGCTATGACATTCTTACCTGCCACCATTACAGTGCAGTCCATGGAACTACTCCACTTTTTCATGACATTGATTTGTGCAGCCCTTTCTCCTTCCTGAATATCAGGTAACCCAGCCAGCCCCAGTCATCTTCATCTCGGTTTCTGTTGTGCGGAGCACACACTGAAAGCCCAATAAACACTTGTAGACTAAAGAAATAAGTGAGTGCCCTGTGGCACTAAAGAGACCAGTTGAGATGACGTCATTTGAAAAATCAATGGGTTTCTCCTCCTTTAACCAGAAGTGTCTTAGAGTAGAAATTCTAAATCCACCTTCCACCTTTGTGCTTTTTCTAGTTCTTCTTTTCCCTTTCTTCTCTCTAACTTTGTCCTTGGGATAGTAGTCAAAGCCAAAGCATGCTTTCTCTGACACTTTGTTTTCTTATATTTCTCTGAAGTCTTGACCCCTTGAACTGTGTGGCCGCTTGCCCACCTCCATGCCTACCTGAAAAGGCGTGGAATTTTCTCCTTCTCCCTCCTCCAAGTAGCTGCCAGGATTTACAGCTTGCCTGCCCTGTTGCTTTTCTCTCAAACTCTAATAAATTGAGCTTTGAACTTCAGAAAATAAAAGAAGAAAGAAGAGATTTAAAAGAAAAACTCAAGGATATGGTTGTGCACACTCAGCCTGGGAAGCAGGAGAGCCTAGTTCTATTTCCAGGTCCAGAAAACAAGCTGCAGGACCTGGTCAAGGACTTACCACTGACCACAGTGTCTGTTTGCTGTGGGACAATCTTTTTGTACACTATGAATATTTGTTACTCCTGTTGATTTAATAAAGGGCTAAATGGCCAATAGCTAGGCATGTAGAGGTTAAGTGGAACTTATGGACAAAAAGAGACCATGGGATAGAGGAGAACAAAGTCACCAATGAGACACAGAGGAAGCAGGAGATGAACATGCCATGCTGAAAAAGGGTACTGCCACATGGTAGAGCATAGATAAGAATTATGGGTTAATTTAAGTTGTAAAAGCTAGTTGGTAACAAGTCTAAGCTATTGACCAAGCATTTGTAATTAATACTAAGTCTCTGTGTCAATTATTGGGGAGCTGGCAGTCCCAATGAAAAACCCCACCTACATCTATTATCTATAAAAATTAGCAAAAATGAGGCAGTAGGACAAAGGGGTCTCTAAGGAAGTAATCAGTTCCAGCATCCGAAGAATCTCATAAGCACTCAAGTCAGTGAAGTGCCATCTTCATGAAGCATTTTACAAGATAGGTGGATGCTCATTTGCATATGAGAAGAATGCTGTTATTTATAGCGTGCATAGAGTCTAAGCTCCAAATCAGTATTAATATGCTGCCTAATTATTTAATTATGTAGATATCTAAATTAAGCAGCTTGCTTACCACACTTTGTCCATTAGGAAGACAGAGAGGCATTTGGTCTCTGTAGTAACCTCTACTCCAAGGGCATGGAGAAAGAGCAAATCTCAGAATGGGTTCTGTGCAAATGACAAGAGTGAATCATTTTCGTATACTCTAGGTTGAGATCAACATATATGGTTTCATTTCATGATGATAACCAGGTTTTCTCTTCATTTAAAAAAAAATGCTATCCCACTTTGCCTGTGCCCGCATGAGCCGAGAGTCATGCCGCGCACCAACCAAGCAGACATGGGCAGAGCGATGGTGGCCAGACTGGGGCTGGGGTTGCTGCTTCTGGCACTGCTCCTGCCCAAACAGATCTATTGCGACCAAACATCTGTTGCACCGCTTTCAAGTAACCAGACTATCTCTACTGCCCCAAATCCAACTAATGCCACCACCAAAGCAGATGACAGTGCCCTGCAGTCAAAGGTGGGTCTCCTCGTGGTCTCACTTTCTCTTCTACATCTCTGCTGTTAGAGACTTGGGCCAAGAAACGTCTCTACTTCCCCATCTTCTAGACCTACCCCAATGGTAACCACAAGTCCAGTGTGACCCGGAAGAAACAGGTCCACATCAAATCTGCTATTACCACTCCTCAACAGAAAACCTTGAGAATTCATGTGAAGGATGTGATAGATGGTGAATGCCAATATTGAATCTGCTGGAGTTTTATGTTCAAGATGAAGAGTGATAACATCTGAAGTTGACATGATTGCCTTGAATGTGACTTAAGAAACATGGACATTTAAAACTGTAACTTGAAATCAAGCATAGGTTTTATGTAGAGATAAAGATGGGATGTAGAATGGAAATTGTTTTCATTGGCTCATTCAACCTCTAAGGCCATAACACAGATAGGTGATATTAAAAGGCTTCTCTGATGCTATTTATGTATATGCTGGAAGGAACTACCAGGTGTTACTTTAAATCCTCAGTGTATTGTTTCATTACTACTAATTTAATAGGCTAAATTCTAGTTAAGTTCCACATTGTCAAACTGTTCTCTTTGGAATTGTACATTATACCCCCTCCTGTGGCTTTAGGTTTGGCATTATATTTGACCTTTATTAGTAATTGACATGTACCAGGCAAGGATGAATTGGAATCCATCCCCAAATCCAGCCATCACTGAATAAATCTTACTTCAAATCTCAAAAAAAAAGCTGATATTCTCTCTTCCCCTCTCCTTTTTTTCATTTTTTTAGCCTTGCTTTGCCCCTATGTTCTCCTCACCTCATTCACTAAATAGTTCCTCACTTACCCTACATAATTTTTATTCTCATGCAATGCTTTGCATTGGTTTTGCTGTTTTCTCCTTCTTACTCACTGATGATTTCTTAGTAAACTCTGATCAGTGTAAGTGTATTTCTATGTATGTGTAGTTTGATGTTGCTGCAGTTACAGACATTTGTTTTCATCTCTCAGAATAGTACCAGGACTGAACCCTCAAGAAACCACAGTTCAACCACGTTGTCAATAGATACACAAACTCATAAGTGAATGTGTTTCAACACAGAAGCTCAATGAACATGAAAAGTCACAGCAACATGACTCCTCCAAAAGAGTTCAACTCCTCAACTGGAGAACTTCAGAGTGCTGACAGGCGGGGACTTCAAAATTCACTGGTAAAAATAATCAATGACCTCAAAGAGAATAGGAGCAAGCTGATGAGCTCAGTGCAGGATCTGGAGAGGAAAGCTGGCAGCAAGAGGAAAAATGGAAGGGGAAATCAACAACATACAAGAAAAAAGTCAGCAAGAAAGTCAAGATTCTGGAAAAAATAGCAGTGATATAAATGAAAACCATAGTGAGTAAATCAAAGGTTAAACACACACACACACACACACACACACACACACACACACAGTGAAAGCATCACCAATAGTCTCCAGTTTTTCAGAAGAAATGGAGGACAATGTCAAGGAAATGCTACATTCAAACGTCTGTAGAGAAAACCATAGATAATGAGCATGACCATAATGCCCAAGAATGTTACAATGTGATCAAGAGTCTAAATCAAAGATGCTGGAAGATAGAAGGGACTTATCTAAAAACTAGAGCACAGAGAATCTGTTTGATAAAATTATAGCAGAAAACTCATGGAAGTAGCCAACCACTTTCTTGATTGGATTAAAGACCCACTCCACATATTGAGACACATATTTGGCACTGTTATGAGGACCAAGAACCTGTATCTAAACAGGTCACAATCCCTGGGGGAGAATCAAGTACTATCACTCTACTAACTACTGAATCAGTCATTAATAACATCATTAAACACATAGATTAGTACCTCTCTCAGCCCTCACCAGAGAAGCTTCTTTTTGTAGTAGTCTTTAATTCAGAGACCCACAGCTAGTCAAGGTGCAGAGAATTAGAGAATAGGAAATATTCATCCCTAAATAATATATCTATAACACACACACACACACACACACACACACACACACACACACACACACACCTAGGCTCAGGCATCATTTCAGAAAGGGGGTAGAAAGAAGGTAAGAGCCATGGGTGACAGATGACTACAAATAAATAGAGTTTTCTGGACATATCACAGCAGTTGAACACAAACTCATGGAGTTGAGGCAGCATGCACAAGACGTGTTCAAGCTCAATCACAACAAAATCCCAGCATGGAGATGGTGAAGTGAGCACCAAGTCCCACCCCTAACTCAGATGCTATTAACAATTGACAGCTTCTGGGAGAAGGGGAATAAATTTTCTGGCCCCCAGAAGTCTGACACACTCCAGTGGAAGGCCACATGTGATGGTTTGAATGAAGATGGTCCTCATAGGCTCATATGTTTTAGTGCTTGGTCCTTTGTTGGTTAGACTGTTTGAGAAGGACTGGAAAATATGGCTTTGTTGAAGGAGATGTGTCATTGGGGATGGGTTTTGAGAATCACTCCTGTGATTCTCAGTTCTTTCACCCTCTCTCTTTCTCTGCATCATAGTTGTGGATCACGGTGTGAATGCTTAGCTGTTCCTTCACTCTGTCATGGACTCTAACCCTCTAAAACCATAAGTCAAATGAACACTTTTTTATAGCTTGTCTTGGTCATGGTGGTTTATAACAGCAATAGAAATGTAATTAAAGACACCACACATCCAAGAATATATAGGCAACACAAATGGAACCTTGTGTGTTTAAATGAGAGAGGAGGCAAATTTAGGTGGGCAGCAAACAAGGTAGAGATAAGATCTGAGAGTAGTTGAAGTAGTTGGAGGAGGGGGAGATGGGATTAAAAAGAAACATTGCACAAAATCCTCAATGAACTAAAAAAATAGAAAAAATTAAATACAAATAAATTTTTCATAAAAACTATAAATTTTTAAAAGAAAATTCTGGTCACTGTCCACAACAATATTTAAATGAGATTAAGGAGCAGGAAGTAGGCTAAAGAAAGGTAGAAAATGAGTGTGAACTCACACTATGACGCCCTTAACACCAAATATGTGGACATGGAACTCCATGGAAGCACGTTAAATTCAGAAGCAAAATCATCTCTACAGGAAGAAGAAAAGAAAGTGTACTCCTCCCAACACACTTTAACTATCTGAGGAGATGTTACTCTCAAAATTAAGTGACCATCAGATAGAAAATTGAAAAGATACCAGGTGGTGGTGGCATACATCTTTAACCTCAGCACTCAGGAGGCAGGGCAGGGGATCTCTATGAGTTTGAGGCCAGCCTGCTCTACAGAGCGAGTTCCAGGAGAGGCTCCAAAGCTATCCGGAGAAACCCTGTCTTGGATAAAAAGAAAAAGAAAGAAAAAAATTGAAACGGCATGGCAGATGAGGAAAGAGATGTACACACAGTTGAGACTGTCTTTTTAAAGACATTGTATATTATATGAAAAACAATCAGATATGCAGCCAAATGCATGGAAGAACAACAGGGCTCATGGACTTAATTTGATTGCAATATACTGTACATTATCTAGATAATAGGGTTTTGGTCATATAATACGTTACATTGTGGTACCAACCCAGTGGGAAATAGTAACACAGCTAAACAACTGTGAGTGTGTTAGAGAGAAAAGGATTGTGTGGGCAAGCAAAACTCTTTCAGCTGAGCTCTAATCAAATGTAAAATTAGATGTCCTAAGATTTACTCCCTGTACATTCCAACAAGAAGAAACTGTAATAGCTCTCTCCAAGAAACACATGGGGAAAATAAAAAGAAAAGAAGAAAATAACACATTTCCCATCATCTCCACTTAGCGTTTCTCTTATGTGTTCCTGTTGAGTAACTGAAGATAAAATTAGCAATGCCTGGAAACTTACAAAGATCTTACACTTTTGTTTTTAGTGCCTCTTAAGCCAAGCTTTCATTTTTCCTTTAAATAAATGTTATTGTCTTTTTGTTATAAAAATAATTCAAAAGTTTTAGTCTGCCCCAGCTGCTATTAAAAAATGGTAGGCTTAAACAACACAAGTTTAATTTCTCACAGTCTGAAGGCTAAGGCTGTCAAAGTTTCAAGGCCCTAGCAGGGTTAAGTAATGTCTGTCTTCCTGACTTGCTGATAGCTGCCTTCACACTCTGTCTATACACATGTGAGGAAGGGATTGAGTGTCCCAGGGCCTCTTCTTATAAGGGCACTAATCTTATTGGGTCAGGGTTCCATCCTTATGGCCTCAGTTAAGCTTAATTATTTTCTTCTTGGAATATAGTAACATTGTGGGTTAGCACTTCAAAAATAGAAATTGAGGTATGACATGCAACATTTCGACTTCCAGCATTGTGCTCATTTTAGAAAATGTAGAAAGCATGAATAGGCAGATGACTATAAAAAAAATCTTTATCTTAGTTCCCACAGAGGACTATCATCAACACTCTGCTACTTTCTTTCCAGGTCTCTTTTTTAACCTATAGAAAAATAAAACTATTAATAGAATTATGTCAATGGCAGTATCTTCTAAATGCTTATTTTTATTAGTAATATTGAGATTTTTAGCATGAGAAATAGCATAGACATGACCTAAAGGGAAGGAGCCAATGGAAAAACCAGAGTCAGCTCCTAGATTCGTGTGTCATTTGATTCCAAGCTAAAGTTATGGGGAAGGAGGGATGGTCTTAGAGAGCCTACAAACCAAACACATTGACTCAAGAATGTTTTTTGGTCTAATTTTGGACAACAGGGCAAAAGCAATTTAGTGGGGAAGATGTAACTGTATTAGTCAGTATAACAAGTTGTAGCAGGTCTTTGGACCGCCAGCTCCCAAATAATGACATGGAGACATTTTATTAATTATGAAAGCTTGGACTTAGCTTAGGCTTGTTTCCAACTAGCTCTTAAAACTTCGATTAACCCATTTATTTTAATCTGTGTTCTATCACCTGGCTCATTACCTCTCCTCAGTACTGTACATCTGACTTCCTCCATGGCTGGCTGGCAAATCTCCCATGCCTCCAATTCTTTTTCAGAGTTCCTATCTCTCCCCATAAGTCCTGCCTATCCTCTCCTACC